TGCGATGGGTTGGGCCAAGGACGCGTGGCGTTCGATGTCGCCATCGACTGTGACAAACTGCTGGGCGAGAACTGGCATTCTCGACAATGACCTCAGTGTTTTTAGTGGTAGACTGTCGAATTTGGATGTAAATTTTGTCGAATAAATGGTTGTGGGCACTTCTCTTGACATCGGATACCTATAGAATTTTATAGCCTGTTGAAATCTTTTGTGGGTCACCGTTCGGCTAGCGGGGGGAAATCAGTATGGTTAAATGGTAGCACCCTGCACCTCGCCATCAAAAAAGATGGGATCGCGCGTTGCACAGCTCGAATGCTGTGCGTTTTCAATACCCAAGTGATTATTTCAACACCCCCCCCCCGCGATCAAACCGAACATCTATAGGACTCCATCACTCTCGAACATCAGGAAAAAGCAGGGGGGTTGTTTAAGTATAACTAGTATTACTACTCTGACATAACAGAACATTGGTGCTACTAGTAGGTGATATTCATAAGTGATCAGAAAAGCTCTACTATCCCTATGAAAGAGCAACTACAGTAAATGTGAACGGGCACTTATAGGAAGGACATCACATATTCACCATGAAGAGACAGACAATTCATCTTGAAGCAAATTTATACTTCCTCTGTCCCATATTCCTCGTCGATTTGACTTATCAACGACCCTACAAATCCATTTCATTACCAAACTTGATGAAAGTTATCATTCAATGAAGAGCATAAAAATCCAAAGGAACCATTCATTGGCTGTCAAGAGCGTAACTTGAATTTTGGCGTCCAAAATCAACTTCTCATTTTCACCACCCGAATAAAAACACACCACATTTAAAGATCAACACACATTTGAATTTGCCGCCATGCCCCAATCCTTACGCGAGGTTTCCTGCGCCAAGCGACACGAGGTCGTCCGACACCTACACCAGTTCCTTAAAGCTGGATGGCTGATCCACGGCGCTTTCGCCAAAACTGCTAAGAGCCTGGTCGCAGAAGTTTTGTCCCTGCTTTTTGCCATCACTGCTTTTTTCGGATAATCATTATTCGGACTATGCTTGGTTTTGTGGTCGGTGAAGCCATT